GAAGTCTGGGTCCACTGCTCAGTGGGTCGATTCCCAAACAGGGACCGTTGTGTTCCTGTATTCACGTTGGTCATTACCTGAAAAAAATCTTTCTAACAATTTTCATTGCCAACGAAAGCTCAGACCAATCAGTGTAGTTCAACGCCGGTAGGGGTATTTGCCCTCGGAGTAGTTGTTTCTGACTGGTCAACGAAGTTCAATTTTGCTTGGACAGGGAGCTTCAGCCTATGTCCTTCTGATGAGTCCTAACAAGGACGAAACGCGTCAAGGATTGGCACGGGAAGTCTGGGTCCACTGCTCAGTGGGTCGATTCCCAAACAGGGACCGTTGTGTTCCTGTATTCACGTTGGTCATTACCTGAAAAAAAAATCTTTCTAACAATTTTCATTGCCAACGAAAGCTCAGACCAATCAGTGTAGTTCAACGCCGGTAGGGGTATTTGCCCTCGGAGTAGTTGTTTCTGACTGGTCAACGAAGTTCAATTTTGCTTGGACAGGGAGCTTCAGCCTATGTCCTTCTGATGAGTCCTAACAAGGACGAAACGCGTCAAGGATTGGCACGGGAAGTCTGGGTCCACTGCTCAGTGGGTCGATTCCCAAACAGGGACCGTTGTGTTCCTGTATTCACGTTGGTCATTACCTGAAAAAAATCTTTCTAACAATTTTCATTGCCAACGAAAGCTCAGACCAATCAGTGTAGTTCAACGCCGGTAGGGGTATTTGCCCTCGGAGTAGTTGTTTCTGACTGGTCAACGAAGTTCAATTTTGCTTGGACAGGGAGCTTCAGCCTATGTCCTTCTGATGAGTCCTAACAAGGACGAAACGCGTCAAGGATTGGCACGGGAAGTCTGGGTCCACTGCTCAGTGGGTCGATTCCCAAACAGGGACCGTTGTGTTCCTGTATTCACGTTGGTCATTACCTGAAAAAAATCTTTCTAACAATTTTCATTGCCAACGAAAGCTCAGACCAATCAGTGTAGTTCAACGCCGGTAGGGGTATTTGCCCTCGGAGTAGTTGTTTCTGACTGGTCAACGAAGTTCAATTTTGCTTGGACAGGGAGCTTCAGCCTATGTCCTTCTGATGAGTCCTAACAAGGACGAAACGCGTCAAGGATTGGCACGGGAAGTCTGGGTCCACTGCTCAGTGGGTCGATTCCCAAACAGGGACCGTTGTGTTCCTGTATTCACGTTGGTCATTACCTGAAAAAAATCTTTCTAACAATTTTCATTGCCAACGAAAGCTCAGACCAATCAGTGTAGTTCAACGCCGGTAGGGGTATTTGCCCTCGGAGTAGTTGTTTCTGACTGGTCAACGAAGTTCAATTTTGCTTGGACAGGGAGCTTCAGCCTATGTCCTTCTGATGAGTCCTAACAAGGACGAAACGCGTCAAGGATTGGCACGGGAAGTCTGGGTCCACTGCTCAGTGGGTCGATTCCCAAACAGGGACCGTTGTGTTCCTGTATTCACGTTGGTCATTACCTGAAAAAAATCTTTCTAACAATTTTCATTGCCAACGAAAGCTCAGACCAATCAGTGTAGTTCAACGCCGGTAGGGGTATTTGCCCTCGGAGTAGTTGTTTCTGACTGGTCAACGAAGTTCAAAACAGTTACAGGTGATCAAAATGATATCAAAGATAAAAAAACACCCGGTACAGGGTGATTAAAAAATAGGAAAATATGCAGGGTTTTTTGGTAAAAGTAGGAAAAAAAATGGCACATCACTATTTTTTTAAACCTTTGATATTTATTTCAGATTAAGCAAGTCATATTACAGTCAAAAGATACCTTTCGTGATCACAAATCAACCTGCCAAAGGATAACGCACACCTACCATGGGATTTTTGGGCTCTATGGATTTTGCTCATTTTTTTGTATGTTGTGGAGGATTTAATTCTGAACAACCTTTAAATGGGACGAAATCTTGTAGGTATTACGGTCTTTGAGATGTGAGCGTTGAAAGATTAACTTTTTTGGGACTTTTTGTGCGGAGAGTATACGAGATACTGGTGTTACTGGTGTTTATCAGTCAAAATATTGACAGGTTCACATATTTTACGTCACTTAAAAATTAATGTCAACTTAGGTTAAGGCCGGGACTGCACTGGGGTCAATGTTGGCGCCAGTGCGGTCCCAACCTTAGCCTAGTTGACATCTGTTAGTGACGTGAAATATGTCGACCTGTCAAAATTTTGACTGATAAACACCAGTTTTTCGTATAGTCTCCGCACAAAAAGTTGTAAAAAAGTTCATATTTCAACGCACATATCTCAAAAACCGTAATACCTACAAGATATCGTCCCATTTAGAAGTTGTTCAGAATTAAATTCTCTACAACATATCAAAAAATGGGTAAAATCTATAGAGCCCAAAAATCCCATGTTAGGTGTGCGTTATCTTTTAAAAAAAAAATAGAAAGATTTTTGAGCTAAAAAACCGATTTTTTCTAAAACTTTGACACCCTGTATCTCAGAAACTACGCATTTCCGGTCACATATTCATGGGAAAGATAACATAAACCCAGTACAGGGTGGGCCAATTTGGACACTTTTAATAGGAAACATCGATTTCTGAGCGAGATACAAAAAAATGAACCCCCCATTCTGAGGCTCAAATTTCATGAAATTTTGATTGGTGCAAACCGCATTTTGATATCTTCAACCGTTTAGCCGCTAGAGGGCGATTCTCGATTTTGAGGAATGATGTGAAACCATCATAACTTTTTTGTTTATGAAAATTTTTGATTTCCGTAAAAACTTTCTAACTCCGAGATATTGACCAAAGTCTGGTGATTTTCAATAGGATACCCAATAGATTAATAGCTCATTAGAAAGATCTGCTTTTTCTGATTTCAATGATATAAAGTTCAATAGGTTTATCTCTAACAGTTTTCGAGAAAAAAAATTATTTCGGTTTTTGTCATAAGAAACAATGTGTTGGAGAGGAGACCTTTCTCAGTTTCCTTACAGATATAAAGTCCTTTTCTTACACATTGCTTCTTATGACAAAAACCGAAATAATTTTTTTTCTCGAAAACTGTTAGAGATAAACCTATCGAACTTTATATCATTGAAATCAGAAAAAGCATAGCTTTCTAATGAGCTATTAAAAACCAGACATTGGTCAATATCTCGGAGTTGGGACCAACTAGAAGAAAACTGAGAACGTCACTGAATTCTGCTTGAAAAAGTGCTTCTAGAAAGTTTTTACGGAAATCAATAATTTTCATAAACAAAAAAGTTATGATGAACTGAGAAATAAAATTCAGTTAGCACAAAATTCTTGTCTATGAGTTGTCTTTTGTACTGGTAAATTTAATCATATCACCTCAATCTACATGCAGTATGAACACTGAACATTTGAGGTTTGAGTCGCGTGTCTCTTTACATTTTGCTATTTTTCTTTATAAGATTTTTAAGAATAATTGCCCCAGTTATCTCTGGTCTCTAATTGTGCCTAGAAATGACTTGCATAACAGGGACCTTAGAAATACAGTAAGGTATAATATACCGCTACATCGAACATCCAAATTTAGAAGTTGCTTTGCATTTCTGTCTGTAGAATTACTTAACTCAAATGTCTATGATTTGGACAGGGCATCATGGAAGAACGCCTCAGCGAATGTTGCCTTTTGTGTATTGTTTTTGTATTATATACTGTACAAATTACGCAATAAATATTCTATTCTATAATAGGTACCTACTAACAATATTATCAACAAAATTTATATCGTAGGATACGTAAAAATATGCTCGCTTTTCAAATGTGAAATAAAAAATCGGGTATTCCATTTGAAAAAAACGAAGATGTACAGGGTGAGTCTTGAGTCACCATATTTTGACACCCACCTGCAGCCGAATTACAAGTGATGGGTGAAAGATGTAAATACAAAAGTTGTAGCATTTTATCTGAACCACCAGAATTTTTAATTAGATTGAACCAACGAGGAACGCAAAATAAAAAAATATGTCAATGTTCACTTTTTTTAAATGGAATGCACTTCATTTTCTTCCAAATTCTTAAAGTTATCGTTTTTCTGATTCAGATTAATGATATGTAAATGTTTCTTTCAATAGTCTTGGAAATATTTGGAGTTTAGTTATTCAAAGACAGTAGCTCGAACAGTAGTGTTTTGAATATATTTTACCTTGATATACGTGCTTGATACGTGAATAGGTCTTTGAATAACTGAACTTCAGATATTTCCAAAACTATTGAAAGAAACATTAATATATTATATAATCTGAATCAGAAAAACGAGAACATTAAGAATTTGAAGAATTTGAAACAAAATAAAATGCATTCCATTTGAAAAAAAAAAAAAAAAACATTGACATATTTTTTTATTTGTGTTGCTCTTTTCTCCAATATAATTAAAAATTCTGGTGGTTCAGATAAAATGCTACAACTTTTGTATATACACCTTTCACCTATAATTACGGCTGCAGGTGGGTGTCAAAATATAGTGACTCACCCTGTACATCGTAACTGTTTTGTTTCTGGTTCAATTGTTTTCCAAGTAACATTTTCAAATTCTACAAAAAAAGTTACATCTAACTGATATCTTCGTTTTCGCCAAAAATCCAGGGAAAGTCAAAATTAAGGCCCTGTTCAGTCCTCTTTGGTGGACCCTAACTTTTAAACTCCATTCCTGATTTTCTGGATATGGAGATATCTTGAGGCTTTATCCTGTCAACAGGAGTGAACTAAAACTATGTTAAACCTTTTTTTTTTTAATTTGACATCGATTTTCCTACGCTTGTACGATTTTTTTTGGGGTACTAGATAGAATTAATAAAATCAAATGCTAACTTACCCTTACATCAGCTTCTGTGGGAGTCAAAACAGCTTAAAAAATCTCTTATGGATATTACATGTTTAGTATTCTTGAGCTGTGAATTATAATGGGGATGATTTCTTAGTTGATTCAATAACTATATACCTACCATCGAGCCTACCATTAACATGGTCGAATATTATAATAATTACCTTCTTTTTTTTAGGTCATTCAAAATATTCCAAAAGTCTTACAAGTATTCACAAGCAAAGATGCCATACTTAATGACATATTGATGCCCCTATTGACAACAAAAAATATCATAGCTCAACAATTGATCTCCAAAATTATGCCTCTGATTTTGTGCACAACATTTAGTGATTTTACTAAAATAATAACCACGGAATCGATCCGAATAATTTGTAACAGATGCAATAGGAATTTTGAAAATGTGGAAAATGACACGAGTTCTGTGGAAATAATATTTTCGAAAATTAAAATTGATATTTCAAGTGTTACTATTGTCTTCCTTAAAACCATTATAAATTATTTGATAAGTCAAAAAGAAGATGTTAAGATGGCGGCTTTGGAGTCGATGCCCAGCTTTACACAACATGTAGCAAAATTTTACACACCTGATGTGGCGAAAATTTGGATAGAAAGGGCTGGAGATGATAGAGTGGAGGTCCGAAGGGGATTCGCTTCCGTTATACGCAAAACAATGTCTAACGGACAGGTAATATTCTACTTCTATTTATTTTTTGAATCTAAATTCTTGTTTTAGAATAATCCAGATATATCCGAAGACATAAAAAATCAAGTCCTCGAAGTAATTTTTACAGTTCTAATGAGGTTATCAAAAAAATCTCTTAAATATTCAGAATGCGAACTCCAAGACACTTTACTGGACACTGTTGATGAAATTGCTCAAATTGAAAATAATCAAATCAAATTGGAGTGCATTAAAATCATGACTTATTTCATAATGGTACCAACGTCATTTCACCGCTTTATTGCTGCCAATAGATGCTCCAATTTGTCAATAAAGGATGGAGCTGGGTTGTTGATGGTTTATAGACAAAACTCCGAAATAATATGTGAACTTATAGCTCATCTTTGCTATATAAATCAAGATTTAATCAAAGCTACCTTGCAACAATCTGTAGACAGGATTTCGGCAGTATTAGGCTTTGATGGCGGTAAAGAATTTGTAACAAAAGAAGCCAAAAAGCTACTGCCTTATTTAGTAGCAAAATCAGTAAAAACTCCAAAAGTTAGTCAACTCATTGAAGAGATCGCAAACATAATGGGCATAGAACTATCTGAATTGTTAACTAGTAATTATGGGCATGTATTTTTGTACTTATATCTCGGAAATAAGGAACAAATTGACACTAACAAATGCTTAACTTATATGGAAACCAAAACGAATCGGAAAGGACCGATATTGAGAAAAATTAATATAAGGGTAAAATTCTCCAATCAAATTATTCTCCAATAAAAAAAATCTGTTTTTTTTTTAAGGTTATTCTTAATCAATTACTATTAAATTTCCACGAAAAACGTGAGAACGTTCTGGAAGCTTTCCAATTATTAATGGAAGAAAATAATAATCAAGCAACATCGATCGAGGATTATTTGCAACCCTATTTTTTGCCGTTCCTGTTATACTTTGATTTAGAATTAACTTCTGATTATTCAAAAAAAGCAAATATTTTACTAAGCCTAGCAGATGTACTGACATTCTTAGGCCCCAACAGAATAACACCTTTGAGATTTAAAATTATTAACATGTTGCAGACATCTCATTACTTGAAATATCCTGAATTAACTTGCCAAGTTTGGGATGCATTCATTCATAGCTGTGAAATTGATTGTTTGGGACCCCATTTGGCCACAATATTCACTTCTTTGCTTCCCCTTATTGCAACGTGCCCTGGTAATGTTAACAGAATATTCCGATACCTTATTGTCGACAATGAAAATAGTCTAAAAGAATATATTACGGACCTATTTTTTGTCAACAATCCTTATTTAACATCTAATGTACTAGTTGTAATAAAAAAATATCTCAAAGCTACAGAAAATTTAACATTCAAAGAAAAAATTCAAAGATACTTGAAATATTTGAAATATGACACTCTGGAAGTCCAGATTCAGAGTCTAAGACGGCTTAAAAGCTACTTAGAACAGAATCGGGAAGAATTGGATGAAATGATCTTGGGATATAATGGCATTGACACTTCTATTGTGGAATTAATTGATTATCTGACATTGGGTTGCAGAGAAAAGAATGTAACTTTGAAATTAGCTTGTGGGGAACTTTTTGGAGAATTGGGGGCTATAGAACCAAGCCATTTACCAAGACGGTAAGAAATAATTTTTGTATAATTGAGCACTAATTACTGTTTTGTCTTCTTTATAGATATGCCCATAATAATCAGTCATTTATATTTTTTATAAATGATGATGCTTTTATAGAAGGTGCATTGAATGAACTAATCAAAGCATTTCAAACTGATAAAAATGCCAAGGTAAGTTGTTTTTGTTTCATCATTTACTAATACTTATTGCAATTTTAATAAAAATATTAGGGATTTTTTTTCTATTACTTACACCTTTATCTAGAATCTAGATGGATGATAATAATATTTTGTTAATTTATCATTAGGTACATAAATAGCTACATAAGGTATTAATTTTTTAGAGGCAGGGTGGTTCTTATGCTTGAATGAACTTTCCTTAGCTAAAAATTAGTTTTAATCTGGCGGATTAAAAGTAAATTGTCTATTAACTTTTTGAATTTGTAAAATTTAATACACTATGGGCCAAATTTATTTGGAACCCAATTTGGCTCTGTATATATTTTTTTAATTTGGAGGATTTCTGTGAAATTTTTTGTGAATATTAAGGTAGCCTTTCCTTAATTATTGTGAGGAAAGTATCTAATCAAAATGTACAGGGTTATCATAATAAGGGCCAGAATTATAAAACACTGAACCGATGGTTGAGTTTCAACCTTCGGTTGAATCTTATCAATTTGCATGGAGTCAACCGAAGGTTGAAACTCAACCATCGGTTCAGTGTTTTATAATACCGGCCATTAGTCAGAGAACGAGGGACCTCTACGATGCGTTTTTAGGACCCCTTATAACGAGTCACCATAATATATACATATTTTTTAAGTTGGTGACACGAAAATTGTTAAAATTGCAGCCAAAAACACTCGATCGAGAAAAAAATTTTTGCTTTTGGAGATACTGGTCGCACTGGGTCCTTATTCTTGAAACAGAGGAGCAGCGTTCCCAGGAGAACGAGTGTTCCGTCGTTCTCAATGATATGCAAATGATAATATAAGTAACAAAGACAGAATACTCGTTCTCCCTGTTTCAAGAATAAGTACCCTGGTTGCAAGTCAGGAATAAGTACCCTGGTTGCTATCGAAAGGCTAGGTACTTCAATATTCACACAAAATTTCATAAAAGTCCGCCAAATTAATATATTCAGAGCCAATAATGGTGATCTAAAGTCTGTTTTTTTTTAAAAGATAAAAGTCAAAATGACATTATGTTGGCAATACAATGTAAAATTGTCAATGCTTTCAAATTTTTATGTAGAAAAGGCTTGTGTTGCCAACATAGTTACTAAATTTTTGACTTGGGGAATTATCTTTAAAAAAAAAAACAGACTAGGTATTTAGCTTATTTGTGATTTGCAGGATGGTTTGTAATATTTATCCACATTCTTATAAATGGCTATCTCTGTTTTTATAAATGTGTTGAAAATTATCAAGTACACTTGGCCAAACATAAAACTGGTAGGTACAGGCAATATATATTTTTAAAATTTGCCTAGTGTGAGTCAGGCTTAATAACAAAAAGTCCCTTCTGAGAAACTTCAAAACTGAACAAAAATAAGGCCGGCTTCTCATGAGCGTAAACTTGACATAACTGGCGCAAATGCTGAATACGTGAATTTTGGCGCAACATTCACATGGAGTGGAGAATTTACGCCGCCGCGTATGTCAAAATTATATTTTTTTCCTAAATTTTGAAATATTTCTTTGAATTTTGATTGTACAAATTTGTATTTGTTTTTGCTTTAGTTCCAAATAGTTACAAATATGGACAGTAAATCATAAAAAACAAAAAAAAACAAAACGGTTGCAACCTTAACCTCTAAAAACGCTGAATTTTTACGCGAAAAGTTGAACTTTGTTCAACTTTTGGCGTATCTGCGACAGAGTGTCAGCGTATCCAATATGGCGGAATTTTGGCCAATCAGAATTCTGCATTCAGGTACGCTGTCACGCCATAAATGTCAAATTACGCTCATAGCCGTCCTAAATGCAACCTATGTTTTTATGTTCTGATTGGTTTAAATATGACACTGAGTTGTCTTGACTCTTTTTGTCATTGTTGAGGTGATAAAAAAGGTCGATTTACACAATACAACACTATAGGAAAATGCGTACCAGTTTTATGATTGGCCAAGTGTATATATTTATTATATACAGGGTGTTCGTTTTAAGGGATACCACTATTGCTATCTCCGAAACGGTAAAAGATACGAGGTCGGTTAAATTAGAAAAAAGTTGCCTTTTTTGATGCCCATTCAAGATTCGTTTACAGTGTTGGCAAATTCCTTTTAGTTTAGGAAATACAGGGCGATTTCTAAGAAACGCCTAAAACTTTTTCATCAATTATTTCGAAAACTATTGATTTTCGGGACACAATTTAAATTTGAAAGTTTTATAATTTTTATCGCTTTACAACATGGCATCTTCAAATTTCAAATTCGACGTTTCGTGATCGAGCTACCATCATCAACTTCATTTTTTCAAATACGGACCTGGATTTTTTATGTCATTTTAAGAAAGCGCACTTTATTCTTCTTTCAACGATATACCTCTTAAGTATGCTTGGCCGACGTTTCTGCTCGAAAAAGTGATTTTTACCAAAATTTTACCTTGATTAGGCCCTGGGATTCGTCATTTATAACAAAGGCGGTCTAACAAGTACTATTTTCCTTTATTATTTAGAACACAATTAACAAAATAATTTTGAATGAACACTTAAAATTATCTAATTGTGAACAATAATTGTAATAATTACCTACTTAAAAACTAATTACGTACATACATATTATTGTAATTTCACAAATTCAGGTTGGGATCAGTGATATGGAATTGGAATATAAATAAATTTCATCAAAGAATGCCTTGAAAAAAAATATATTGACAGCTGTGCAACATGTCAAACATTTCTTTATTATTTATTCATTTTATAATAATTGTTAAATGAATATGAGTACAGTGCTTTTCATTATGGAGTTTACGAAAATACCAGAGACATTTAGACATTGGAAGAATTCAAAGAGAGGATAAGGGCTGCATGTGCTAGAATAAATAATAGTTATGTGAACTTTGTTTCACCAGGGTTCATACTTTTGACACAAAAAAATTGAATGTGTCATAATATGAATAATTAATCTACGACAACCCTTTTTTTTCAAGTTTCAAGGTCAAGTATGAACCATGGTGATCTGTATTTGTATACCAAGACCGCGAAATGCCTTGGTTGCTTGCGGCCGAGGCAAGATAGTCTTGAGAATGCTGCAAAGTTTCGAGGTCATGGTAGATATACACACCATGTAAGGTGTGGCGGCCGCGAAATTGAATTTCGCGGACGGTTGCATGAAAAATAATACATATTAAATAATATTCAAAAATGGGAAATGCAGATGATGATTGAGGAATAATGGACTTCAAGTTGAGTACATATTTACAATAATAATTAATTTCTAAGTCATTATTTTCGATATAAATTCTAAGTGTTCTAAATAAAAGGAAAAGAGTACTTGTTAGACCGCCTTTGTTACAAATAACGAATTGCAGGGCCGAATTAAGGTAAAATTTTGGTAAAAATCACTGATGATCACCTTTAAAAGCAGAAACGTCGGCCAATCATACTTAAGAGGTATATCGTTAAAAAGGGAATAAAGGGAGCTTCCTAAAAATGACATAAAAAATCCAGGTCCGTATTTAAAAAAATGAAGTTGATGATAGTAGCTGGATCACGAAACATCGGATTTGAAATTTGAAGATGCCATGTTGTAAAGCGATAAAAATTATAAAACTTTCAAATTTAAATTGTGTCCCGAAAATCAATAGTTTTCAAAATAATTGATGAAATAGTTTTAGGCGTTTCTTAGAAATCACCCTGTATTTCCTAAACTAATAGGAATTCGGCAACACTGTAAAGGAGTCTTGAATGGGCATCAAAAAAGGCAACTTTTTTCTAATTTAACCGACCTTGTATCTCTAACCTTTTCCGAGATAGCAATAGTGGTATCACTTAAAACGGACACCCTGTATAACATATAATTATACGTTACAAATTTTCTTCTATCTATAAGTGGTTTTATTTTCAATTTAGAATACAGATAGAGTAGCCCTGGCTATCCAGGAAATTCTAAAAACCTATGAGATTTCCCCAGACAAAGACAGTAAAAGGAATTTTATGTGGAACAAATTTCCCGAGTCCCATAGAGAAGTTATGACGCCTTTACTATCATCAAAATACATTTGTGTGGAAAATTTTAATGGCTATCCCTGTCCATTGTATGGTAGTAGTGATGGATCTAGTTTTCAAGCATGGCTACACAAGTAAGTATAATTGATAATTATTATATTATTTTATTTACGACTAATGTATAATGTGCGTATTATATTTGTGATTTTGGCAGTATAATGACATATGTTATTCCTCCAGGGATTAATGACGAGTAGCGGGATTAATGGTCATTATTCCACAAAAGTGTCAGTGTCAAACGTGTAGTGCTGGTGGATTTGTATTGAAAATTATGAGACGGATGAAATTTGTTCATTGAAAATCTTAAATAAATTAATTTGTCGTAAATAAAGTAGAGTATACTACTCGCAATAATGGCTATTATTCCCTCGGAATGTTACTCCCTCGCTGCTAACGCGGCTCAGTTCGTAATAATCCTCGGGAATAATAGCTATCATTATTGACTCGTGGTATAATCTACTATTATTTCCTACTGAACTATTATAACCATATAATACCTTGGTTACGATAATCATAAACAGGGTCTTAACTCCCAAGTGAGTTAGGAATTTCATAACTCCCGCGCGGGAGTTGAGGATATCATAACTCCCAAGGGAGTTAAGGATTTCTTCCATAACTCCCGCTTTTACCTTGAATAGGTGAACTTTGACAAAAAATAGAAATTTTGGTTTATGGTTTATTTCTTTATAAAAATGGACAAAATACAGTAAATTCAGTAGGAAATAAAATTATCTATGTACCACGGGAATTATCAGGTGTTAATACCCACGGGCAATTGATGTCCCCCGAGGGCCTATTAATACCCTCATAATTCCCTATAAAAATAACTATTATTTCCTACTGAACTATTATAACCATATAATACCTTGGTTACAATAATCATAAACAGGGTCTAAACTCCCAAGGGATGTTAAGGATTTCATAACTCCCGCGCGGGAGTTAAGGATATCATAACTCCCAAGTGAGTTAAGGATTTCCATAACTCCCGCTTTTACCTTGAATAGGTGAAACTTTGACAAAAAATAGAAATTTTGGTTTATGGTTTATTTCTTTATAAAAATGGACAAAATACAGTAAATTCAGTAGGAAATAGGAAATAAAATTATCTATGTACCACGGGAATTATCAGTTGTTAATACCCACGGGCAATTGATGTCCCTCGGGCCGAAGGCCCTCGGGACACAGACTTTGCCCTGGGGTATTAACACCCTCATAATTCCCTTGAGACATAATAGTTATTTATATTACTAGTACGGTATGAGCTTTATTACAATAACGAGTGGGGAATATTGCCAAGACGAGGTCGTAGACCGAGTCGTGGTAATCACACGAGTGGTGTAATGAGCGTTACCGTAAGTGTGATATACAACATTTTATATACGACCCAGATTTTTTTCATGTATTCGAAATGGTTTTAATTTTTCACAAAAGATTATATTTATAATGTTTGATAAATGAATTTTAAAAAGTGCCGTTTTTCAATAAAAATGAGTTACGTAATGAGCTCTCATTACATCACTGAGTTATGTAATGAGAGTTCATTACATCACTGAGTGATGTAATGAGAGCTCATTACATAGCTGAGTGATGTAATGAGCTCATTACATCACTAAGCACGATAATGCAACTTATTACATAACTCAAACAGGCTAAAATGAGTTACGTAATAAGCTCTTACAGTGTAGGTCGTACATAAATTACTATTATTATTATGTATACTGACCTGAGTTACCTTTCTCTGGGAAAAAATAAATTTTTCATCTGACTCTATGCCAAAATTAATACAAACTCATAGTATAAGTTATTAGAAGTCGGTGCTCGAGTCGGTGCTACGATTAACACTTGTGCTTCTCGTAGCTACTTTTGGTGTATAATATAATATTTTATCCAAAACAAATTCTTTGCAACAGATAAGACTTTTATGTTTCCCAATGAGTTTGTAGATATGAATGCGTAGATCTTATTAAATAATACACGAAAGTGTATTATTTAATAAGATTATCCCGAAGAAACCCTTTTACGAAGATTAGAAATGTGATCGTCAAACTTGAGAGACTTATCAATTGTGAGGCCCAGGAATTTGTTGTGGTTTTGTGGAGTTACAGGATTATCCTCCAGGTCTCCAGTTCGCATTTGAAGTTTAAAACATTGGTTTTCAAAACATTGAAAGATAATAAATTGGAGTCGCACCACTCCTTCACCATCCTCAAATCTGCATTATTGTCATTATTCAGTTTCTCCACATCTGAGCCGTGCCACAAGATTATCGTATCGTCCGCAAAAAGAGTAAACTTTCCCGAAATTGGGAGTTGGGGCAAATCGTTGACGTAAATCAGAAAAAGAATGGGTCCCAGCACAGATCCCTATGGGATTCCAACATTGATGTTCATGCATTCTGACTTACCATCCTGAAATCTTACGGTCTGCGATCTACCCGACAAGTAGGAGCGAAACCACCTCAAAGCACCACCCCGAAAACCATACCTCTCAAGCTTCCACAGTAGTATCTCGTGATTCACACAGTCAAACGCCTTGGAGAGTTTACAAAAGACTGCCGAGGCCTCCTCTCCACCGTTCAACTGCTTATAGAGTAGCTCAAGGAAACTGAAAATGGCATCGCCAGTGCCAATCCCCTCTCGAAAACCGAACTGTTGGGCGCTCAGGAGTCCAAGTCCACTGAGAAAGGCTAACATCCTTCTCTTCACAAGCTTTTCAACTATTTTAGCCATGATAGGTAGCAGCGTTATTAGACGGAAGTTTGACAGCGTGTCATGGTCTCCACCCTTATGCAAGGGAATAACCACAGCTTGTTTGAGACACACAGGGAATTCGCCCGACAGAAACGAACTATCTATAGCTCTCGTGAAAGCTCGCAAGGCTCCATCAGGCAAACAAGACTTGAACTTATTTGTATTCATTCTTATTCCCAATAGGTTTTTTGACATTCAGCGAATATATTCCAATTGTCTGCAAACGCGCATGCCTACTGAGTAAATCAAAAGTGCGCCTACCTCTTATTTTCGTTTACATTAATAATTAAATTTTTGGAATTTTTTTTAGTTGGACGTCAAGTTTGATAAGTACATTCCCAGTAGACGAGCAGACCCTCTTGCAAAGCTGTTTTCCAAGTATGAAATTAGACAAGCGTGTGCTCATGCATTTTTTGCCTTATATCTTGCTAAATACTTTGTTAAAGGAGAATGATGATGAAGGAAAGGGGTATATTGAATTTAAGGCAGTTCTAAATAGTTTTCATGCAAAGAGAAGTGTTGATGACAACATTCTAAATGTAAGTTTTATCTGACATTCAATTTGTTAAGCTCAAAAAACTATTTTCAGATGAGTCCGTTACTGAAATCAGGGAAATCGCCCACAGCAAGTGAAGTCACTCCCAAAGAGGATAAGCAAATCGAATGCACCAAAGTAGTTTTTATTTTACTCGATTTCCTGGACAGGTGGCTGAGAGAATGGCAATGGCTTAAGGGCACTAGTGCAGGCACTGATATAAACTACAAGGCGATTCAAAGATTCTTAGCAAAATTTTGTAAATTAGAATTGGCAAAGTGTAATTACAAGTGTGGGGAATATCCCAGAGCCCTTATGTATCTGGAATACTATATCACAGAAAATCCTGACCAAATTTCAGCCAATTTACAATTCTTAGGAGAGGTAATAATTTTTTCTGTTTTTTGGCATAAACGGGTGAGCTATGTGTATGGCATGCATAATATCGACGACACAGTTGCCAGATTGTCATTGAAGTATGAGCCTTTGGAGAAATGATAAGATGGTAGAATATTGGGCTAAGATTTGGATTTAAGCGGAAAGAAAACAGTTTGTTTAAAAAAATAGTAAAAAATGCGATAGTATGGGGTAACACTTTGTGTTCATATTTTCATGCCAAGCGATCAACTATAGTTATTTTCCTAACAAGTGCGGAAAGTGATACTTTTCCGCACGCGACTGCCATTGACCCGAACGACGCGAAGCAGAGTTCGGGCAAGCAATCGAGTGCGGGAAAGACACTTTCTGCATGAGTTAGGAACATTATTTTTTCTACGAGCGCTTTCAAATATAAAAACAAAAACTAAGTAAATTCAAAGCGATATATTATTGAAGAAATTTAATTACAAAATTACTTATTTTTATATTTTTACGTTTGCTTTCAAGAATGATTGAAAAAAATTATGTATTAAATCGATTTGATGTTACAATAAACAAAATTTCTAAGGTAAAAAAACTGCCCCGCCTCAAAGGAATCAAAAAGTCAAACAATGTCCAAAAAAATTATAAAATTTTTGAAATATTCACAAATTAGATTAATATGGATTAAAATAGATAATAGGAATATTTAAAATAGTTTGAGCGCATAAATTAGTATATCTAGCAAAAATGTATGCAGACAAAATAGATAAAATGTTCGATTAATTAACAAAACTGACACTTCTTCTGAATGCCACTTTCCCGCACTAGTGCGGGAAAAACAAAATCGCGCACTAGTGCGGGAAAGTGACATTTTCGGAACTAAGATGCGTGCTGGAAAGTGATAAAAAATGCACGCTCGTAGAAAATAGTTATTTTCCTAACAAGTGCGCAAAGTGTTACTTTTCCGCACGCAAACACAGTTATACGAACGACGCGAAGCGGAGTTCGGATACGTGTTTGCGTGCGGAAAAGACACTTTGCGCACGTGTTAGGAACAAAATTTTTCCTACGAGCTTCATATCAGGTAGGTAATAACAAAAATTTGAAAAAAAAAACCGATAATTTGTTTAATTATTTTGAATTAACTTGAAGGGAACCTATGCATTTATCAAAAAATTACATAACAAAAAAAAAATAACAGAAAATCCTCGTCAGAGCTGTTCATCTTAAAGCGTTTAAATTTGATGAGAAAGTTTGTAGATTTTTGCATATAAATAGAGAACAAATCTGATGTGTCAAAGTTAATTTATAATTGGTGTTTGTATAGATGTTGGCTGATATAGAAATAGAGGAAAAATTTGTCATCATGTGTCAAAGTCGACAGGTGCACTTATTGTTGCTTGACAATTATAATTACTTTTCGGCACTCAGTGCGGATAAGGCCTGTATCCGCACTGAGTGCGGAAAAGTGTAACTTTGAGCCCGGAAATGCGTGCGGAAAAGTACTACTTTGCGCACGCTCGTAGGAAATAGTTATTTTCCTAACAAGTGCGCAAAGTGTTACTTTTCCGCATGCAAACACAGTTATACGAACGACGCGAAGCGGAGTTCGGATACGTGTTTGCGTGCGGAAAAGACACTTTGCGCACGTGTTAGGAACAACATTTTTCCTACGAGCTTCATATCAGGTAGGTAATAACAAAAATTAAAAAAAAAAAAAACGATAATTTGTTTAATTATTTTTAATTAACTTGAAAGGAACCTATGCATTTATCAAAAAATTACATAACAGAAACAAATAACAGAAAGTCCTCGTCAGAGCTGTTCATCTTAAAGCGTTTAAATTTGATGAGAAAGTTTATAGATTTTTGCATATAAATAGAGAACAAATCTGATGGGTCAAAGTTAATTTATAATTGGTGTTTGTATAGATGTTGGCTGATATAGAAATAGAGGAAAAATTTGTCATCATGTGTCAAAGTCGACAGGTGCACTTATTGTTGCTTGACAATTATAATTACTTTTCGGCACTCAGTGCGGATAAGGCCTGTATCCGCACTGAGTGCGGAAAAGTGTAACTTTGAGCCCGGAAATGCGTGCGGAAAAGTACTACTTTGCGCACGCTCGTAGGAAAATAGTATTTTACATTATTAGCCAGGTAAAACAGTTTTTACTGGTGATTGAAGGAATTGACTAGCGAGCCGTCAGGCGAGCTTGTCACCTTCAAGAGCCAGTAAAAACTGATACCTGGCGTATGATGTACAATAATTTATTTGTTACTCATTTGTAAACAATAAATAAAAAATTAATGCATAAGTAAAACAATTTCGAAATTTATAATTTTTTCCTTAATTTTTTTGTCATGCAAGCCTTGGTTCTGGTTGTTGATTGTTTGTATAACTATGACCACGGGGCGTTGTTAAGGTCGTTGTTTATAAATAAGTTGTCAAAGTTTTGTCAAATAAGTTTGCTTTGAGTTTGATGACAAATTTGCTTTTCGCATTTTTTTCTTCGAAAAATGAGTGTACCAGAAGCCATTATCAAAGAAGCCGCAGTTGTAGCAAATAGCTTATTACCAGAGAAGTCTTCAAAAAGGTACGAGCAAGAATATACAAATTTCAAAACTTGGCAAGAAAAGAATACCGTAGTTGGTGTGACAGAGGATGTTTTACTAACTTATATTAACCAACTTGCTAAAAGATTCAAACCTAATAGCTTATGGTCAAAATGGTCAATGTTGAAAAGCTGTCTGCAAATTAAAGAAAATATTCCAGTTGACAGGTTTGTTTTTCTTTGGTCAGAATTACCAAAATAACTAATTTTTTGTTTGTTTTGTAGATATTATAAAATTTTGGCTTTTTTAAAGAGGAAGAGCGAAAATTATGTCCCGAAAAAGGCAAAAGTATTAACTAAGGAGCAAGTTGAACAGTTTATTATAGAAGCTCCTGACGAAAATTGGTTGTTATGCAAGGTTATCACCATTTTCGGAATCTTTGGTACTTGCCGATGTGACGAGCTGCTGTCTTTAACCCTGAACGATGTGGAGGATGCTGGAAAATACATTATCGTCAATTTGAGAAATACAAAGAATCATACCAGTAGAAGATTCACTATAACGGACGATGACTGCAGCTTTCAGCCCTGCAATTTATATCGAAAATACGCAGCTCTTCGCCCTGTTAATGCAGAAAATTTGCGCCTGTTCTTAACATATCGCAACTTTAAATGTATCGCACTCAACGCTGGCCAGTATACTATCGGCGGCGTTCCCAAAAAAATTGCGGAATATTTGGAGTTACCTGAGCCGGAATTATATACTGGTCACTCTTTCCGTCGATCTGGGGCCACCATGGTTGTAAATGCAGGCGGTGATATTTTAACTTTGAAACGTGCCGGTGGTTGGAAGTCCAGTACGATTGCTGAAAGTTACGTGGAGGACTCCATCAATAAAAAAATTGAAATTTCGAAGAAAATGTTTCCCGCATCAGAAAGCTCAATAAATTCAACTGATTCATTTGAGGATTCAGCAGCAGATAAATCTATGTTAACCCATTCACCATCTACAAAATTTAATATCACCGGAAACCAAAATTGTAAATTTATTTTTAATATGTATTCGTCAAACAAAACTGAGTTTTCCAAAATAAATAATTCTACTGACCCTACTGACTTGTAAAAAGTTTTATTTTCAACCACATATGTAATGTTGACATTGCAGGTTTTTCAAAATCTTGAAAGTGTCACATTTCTGGACTTTGACATTTATCGGGACGGTAATGCATATGCCTGCCTAGGACGGAAAAGCATTTTCCGTCCGGGACGGCAAATGCTTTTCCGTCCCCATTTCCCTGCTCGTTCCAAATTGATAATTTTCATACAGCTCTCACATATAATAATAAAACCACATGTATTACATGGAACTAATTAAATCTATTCACTTATTTACATTAATTGTTAAATTAGCATTGTTGTTTATAATGGAAATCTTGAGACCATCCTGTTGGAATTGTGTTTCGTTTGGAACTATTATCTCTTGCGCTTGCGGATGAGTTTCCGCATGTGATGTACTTGTGGATGCACTGGACAACTGAATACCTTTGGAAGTAGAGGATAGCATCAGAGCAGTCTTACTTTTGTTCTCCAAAGATGCCTCTATGTAGCCTTCAGCAACCGTGCTCGATTTCCACCCTCCCAGTCTTTTGAGTTGCAATAGATCGGCCCCGTTGTCAACCAATAAGGTTGCGGAAGTACGACGAAAAGCATGCCCTGTAAAAGTTTCAATTTTTGGAAGCTTCAAAAAAGCAGCTATTTTATGTGGAAATTTTGAGATTGAATGGTAGCCAATTGCTTGGTTATGTAATTTCCCATTTCGCCATTGAACAAATAACCTGTCATTTTTCAAATTTTTCCGCAAAGTGAGGTATTTGTGGAAAATAGCAACCCAATCTGGATCGCTTATGATAAACGATCGACTTGTGTAAGTTTTTGTGTGTGGAATTTCTATAGCGATCTTTCCTTCCAAAACGTTGACGTGCTCCATTTTCATCTTGACTAGTTCATCGCTCCTACATGCACCCGACACACCAACAATTAGCGCTACCTGAAACCAGATAAAAATAAAATGGGTAACCTAGCTATAGCATACAGAAAATCATTTTGATTTTCGCATTTTTATCTTCTTTGTATATTTTTTGAAAACCTACCTTGATGCTAATGAATTCTTCAGCTGCCTTCGTGAGGAACTCGTTAATGTTTTCTCTGGAAAAAACGCTCGACTTTTTCGGCTGAAAGCCCAGATTTTGCCGCTTCAAAAAAGCTATAAGTTTTGCGTAATTGGAGATATCAACTTTCTCTTTCAATTTAATCATGGTTTTCAACATACTGTAAGTCGACCATAAAGTCGAAGGCTTCTTTTCCTTAGATAATTCGCCAAAATACGCCAACAAAACGGTCTCCGAGGCAGTATTTCTCGTTCCTTTCTGGCTACACCATGCTTCGAATATTTGAAAAGCCTTTTCGTACCGAAATTTGCTTTTTGCTGGAAGCAAACTCTCTCCAATCCTGTCTGCTGCTTCTTTTAATTCAGGTGGGGTACAATCCATCGCTTCATCTTCACTTTCCGAAATCATTTCTTTGGGGAGAACGGGGAGAAATCTAGTGAAAATCTATTATTTCCGCAAAAATACTGAGCGAAAACTACCGTCGTTAAGGCGTTGTTGATCTTATCTATGGTTGTTGATTTTGCGGTTTCCTGTGGTTTCGTCTTTTGTTTTGGCCTTTACAGGGCCTTTGAGATCGTCAAAATTGATGACATTGACAAAAAAAGTGAAATATTTTTTTCTAAGGCCAGTTTTACACTATATGAAAATTTCGTATAACAGAATCTTTAGTTTTTGCATCAGAAAATTAAGGGTTGAAAATAAAAAAGTATACAAACCTCGACGGAAAACTTCATTTCTGTCTCGAGGTTGAGTTTATCTCGACGCTTCGCGTCTCGATAAACTATAATAACCTCTCGACCAGCAATGAAGTATTTTCCGTCTCGGATTGTAATATACTATTTTTCTACTGACGTTTCATAATAGCAACTTTTCGATTGTCATTTTAGTTTCGAAACGACATTCTTTTAAGCACTGAGTGCGTGAAAGTTACTTTTAAGCACTCAGTGCGTAAAAGTGACTTTTGAATGCGTAAAAGTGACTTTTGAGTGCGTAAAAGTAATTTTTAAGCACTAGTGCCTAAAAGTGTCATTCATTATTCAGAAATAAAAAACACACTTAACACATTATTTGAATTTTGTTTTGTATTTATTATGAATATTGAAAATGGAATTACTGAATTGAACGTTTGGGTTACTCTAAACAGAACTTTGTGTTGTTACCTACTTTCTAGGATTTTAATTATTGATGTCGAATCTTGAAAAAAAAATCGCATGAAAAGTGTCAGGTGTCAAGTAAAAGCAGGAAACAGAGATTTTGGGCGTAATCGATTTATTCAAAGAAAATAAAATTTGGTTTTTTTATTATAAAATGCCAGTAGAAAAAATCTTGTATACAATACGTTACGAAACGATGTCTTTTAGTCACTCGACGTGTTGTCCAACTCGGCTTTGCCTCGTTGGACAATTTTCACGTCGCGTGCCTAAAAGACGCTCATTTCGTAACTTATTGTATAAATAGCTATTTTCTACAAACGTGTTAAAAATGCAATTTTTAACACCCCCTCGAAGCATTAAAAATGTTACTTTATCGCACTAGTGCCATAAAGTCTTTATAGCACTAGTGTTAAAAATGAAACATCAAATTTTGAGAGCGAACGTCAAAAAAAGTTTGTATTTTTAGTTATTTACATTGATATTAATGGTGAAATTTGAACAACTGAGGTAGCCCGATTGGCCGCCTCATCTATATTTTTCAAGGGATCGATGCAACCCTCTTTTTCTTCTGTATTTTGTTGCATTTTAAGCAAAAAGCATTACTAACCACGACAGTCTTTCAAGAAACTGACAAGACATTTCATTACCTGTAAAACAAGGTGCTGGTTGTTTGAACTTTTTGACAAATGTCAAATTCAATAATTTTATGTAGGAAAGATGCTTCCAATTTAGCATTCATTAAAAAATCCAATGGTTATTGCTTTTTATTGCCGTTTGTAGAAAAATATTGTATGATATTTGTGTTAAAAGTATTTTTAAGGCACTTATGTGAATTGCAGAATTCGCTTCGCTCATTCTGCAAACTTTCACATGCATGCCTTAAAAATGTACTTTTAACACTTATATCATAAATAACTATTACAGTTTAGCTGTCAATTTTACAAGTCAGTAGAGCCAGTAACTGGTAAAAATCAATTTTCGTTGTTTATGTTTTGACTTGATAAGTGACGTTTTACAAATGAGTGACAAATAAATATATTTACGTACAGTCATGAGCACAGAAAGTGGGACACCTGACTGACAGGTCTTGTCATTTTGCGTAAATCGTTCTTTTCTTCACAATTGATTTTATGTCAAATATGACAATCCCTGTCATTTGCCTTAGGTATAGCTGGTGAGCCCGTTTTACAATCGGAAAAAACGGGTGTCCCACTTTTTGTGCTCATGACTGTACATTATTATTTACATCCTGGTTTATTCCTTGAAAAATGTAATTAGTAAATTTGATAAGTTATTATAATCCTAGTGAGATTTGCATCTCAGATAATAAAGCACAAAGCACATTTTGATTTGATTTAATTGGTTCGATCAGGATTTGCATTAATTTTATTTGCAAATGTATTTTCTAATAGAATAGGCGATAAATACCAATAATAAAAATTTAATCTGCCACCAACAATGTATTCAATTTCAAAAACCAATTTGAAGAACCAGAAAAGCAGGGTTGAGAATATCTTCTTTGCTTCGCGTCGTTCGGTCAAATACCGTTGTGTGCGATAAATTATCACTTTTCGCATTTTTTAAACTATTTATATTTTTGTGTAGATTATACAATCAAAAATATACTTCTACCTACTGCTAACACATAACTACTTTGTCTGCAAGCCACTCTGAATTGCGTTTTCTTTAACATTTTTAATTTTGGATTTTTTTGATATCCATCAATATTATGATACTTTTGGTTTAATTGTACAGGTTATAGAGATCTGAAAGGCAGCTTCTTACAATATTTCTCGTTAAATGCATTTGCTAATCGGCACAAGTGATACCTATTTCTATCAATTCAATTACTTTTTAGATTTATGCTCAATTGGATGAACCAGATGGAGTATTGGGCTTAGAACCGCTACAACAAGGTGAACCTTCTTTAGAACAAACCCTTTTATCTTTGGAAGTATCAGGGAAATTGAACGATGCCGCTGCCATTTATGAACATATGCCTAAACCTTTAAAGCTACAACACATAAAGGTTATCAATACTCACATAACAGTATGATTTTGAATTTATTTGTAATTATTATTGATAGGGCCTACTTCACTGTTACCTCGGTTTGGATAAAATAAATTCTGCACTATATTGTGCAGAAGGTGCACTGAAATTGCAACCGGAAATGGAAAATATGTTTTTGGAAATGCAGGCTGAAGCTTTATGGAGATTGGGCAGCTATGATGAATTGGAAAATTTGCTAAAAAAACTCGATATAGACCAAAATAGGGACTGGGGAATTCAAGTTGGCAAAACTTTGGTGTGTATTCAGAAAGGTAAAAGGTGCATTTTAAGTTTCGAGCGCATCGGAAGATGAAATATTCAGTTCGATTAGTAACACTTTTTAAAATACATATGTATTTCAAAACTTACTCCCTATATGTTATTTTAATAATCTTACAAAAATATTGCTTCAAAGGTTCTCCACTTATTTTTCATAAAGAAAATTGTAAACCAAGTTTTTTTTAATGAGCTTAAAAATTTATTATTTCTATGTTATATTGTTTTCCATAAAATAAAGATAAAATAATATTATGCCTTAAAAGGTAAAGGTGTACCAAATGTTTTAATTAATTGTTGAAATTTTTGCTATTTGCTTAAAAACCTAATTGATCTTATTTTTAATTATCAATTTCACTTTAAAACTTCTAGGGGAAAGAGACGAATTCAAAAAAGTTCTACAGTCAATCAAAAGACAACTGGTTGATGGTTTTGGAGCTGCTACATTAGAAGAAGGCGCTTACCAGCACGGTTACAGCTACATAGCCCACTTACATTGCCTCAATGAGCTAGAACAGCTAGAAAAGTCACTTTTCGACCTTCTTATAAAACCGAATGACCAAAAATATGCAGAATCAGTTATTGATAAGTTAGCCAACGAATGGCGATTGCGAATTAAAGTGGTTCAAGAAAGTGTCAGAGTTGTGGAACCTCTTTTATGCGTGAGAAGAGTAGCTTTGAATTTAGGTAGGATCGTCGCTGAAAAGAAGGCTCCTCTGGCATTACCTTTTTTTAATAAGTTACTGGGAGAAACATGGCAGCAGAGTGTAAAGGCTGCCAGAAACGCAGGAGTGAGATATATTTAACTTAACTAATTAATTGTTATTTCAAAAGTGAATTTTCAGGTTCATCAGCAAGCGTACACTTACGTTTTGGATGCAGAAAAATACAATCCTCCGACACTTTTTATTGAAAAGGCTAAACTTCACTGGTTGAGGGAAGAACACAAGGATGCTATAATTACATTAAAACGAGGACTAAATGCCTTTATTCCAGATAATTTAAAAAATCCAGAAACTCAAGAAGCGATTGCAAGGTTGAGCTTGGAACAAAAGTAAGCATTTCCACAATAACATTATGCACAAAACAAACTACTGCTATATTTTCAGGAAGCTTTGTGCTGAAGCCAAGCTTTTAATAGCAACCTATAATAATGATATATGCAGTGTCGATGTGGAAACTAATCTCATGCAATATAAAGAGGCAGTTGAAGTTTATAAAGAATGGGAGAAAAGTAATGTAAATGTCAATAATTAGTAATTCAACCAGAAACATAAATTATTTTGATCAATTTTCTAGGTTTGCTTGGCGCAATACCAAGACCGCATATTCCAAAACTACTCGGACACAGAAAAAGACACCAAAGGCAGTGAACTTCAACTTCACATAATGCATAACTTTGGAAAATCCCTATATTATGGCACAACCTTTATTCACCAGTCCATGCCTAGATTATTGTCAATATGGTTCGACTATAGCACAAGACTACTGGACGTTACGGGTAATCCATTAAAAGAAGAACGTCAACTGATTCTAGTGAAAATGACCAAGATTATTGATAGTTTTTTGAACAAGTTACCTGCTTTTGTTTTTCTCACATCATTTTCACAAATTATATCAAGAATAGCCCATCCCCAGAAGGAGGTGTACGGACAGATAAAGAATATCATTATTAAATTGATGCAACATTATCCACAGCAATGTTTGTGGATGATTAGTTCTGTTATCAAGGTGAGCTTTGATTTTAAGTTTTTTACGATTCATTACAATTATTATTATTGTACACAAGATTTGAAATTGGTAAATTTAATAAATAGTACGGCATCTAAAATACACTGAGAGCTTTCTGAATCTTTTTTAGAAAACACTTTGTCAGCGAAGTTAAAAACCTTTCTCTATTTGCTAAGATGTAATTATTGAGCTAAGACACTTATTGTAGTTTTGCAGTATAATTTAATTTATCTGAAATTCCAGTCAAGTTATCCAATAAGAGCAAAAAGATGTGCTGACATTTTGAACGACGTTCGACTTAGGTCTCAAACCAGTTTAGTAAAAGATTTCACAAGCTTGGCTGAAAAATTAATTGAATTGTGCAACAAAGAAATACCCACTGATGTAAACTCTACTACTGTGAGTTTATTGGTTCGGTCATTACCAAGGTAATAGCTATATTTCTATTTATTATCATTCAATTTTTTTTTCTGTGGTTTCAGGTTGTTAAACAAACAGGACTTTAGCGAAATAATGATGCCCACTCATAAATTTAGAAAGCTGATTTTACCTAATCCTGATTTCAAAAATACCCAACACAATCCATTCCCAAATTACTATGTACACATTGTTGGCATTGATGATAATATAAGCGTTTTAACAAGTTTGCAACGACCAAGAAAAATAGGTTTGAGAGGATCTGACGGAAAAAGGTTGGTACAAGTGCCTATCCAGTCACACTGGAAAAAAATTACAATTATCTTTTCCGAAAATAGATCAAGAATATTACCAGTTTTGATAGCATGGGTTAATACTTCCTTTCTCGGGTAATTGTAAGGAAATATTTATTATGGCACTGTAAGGAAATAATGGGTCTGTTTCTGCAAAAATCACAAATCGATCAGAGCGAATTTCATCAAATCAAATCAAATCAAAGTAAGCTTTATTTTACAGAAAAAAGACATTTTCATTGACAAAGCAATTGTTTACAATAAATACTGACTACTATCACTATTACTCTAAGGATTAGGTATAATAAGAACAATAAAGTTTAATGTAAAACGTATCGCTAGAAGATAAGAGAACAAAAATTTACAACATAAATACACCAACAACTTTACAATGATAAAATTTGACCACTTTGATCACCAAACACATCAGTAAATAAATAAAAATATAACTCGCATCTACCGATTATGCATCTGCAGTTAACCCTCGTAAAATTCCCTCAGACCATAGTGAACCCTGGCGACTAAAAACCGCTAACTGACACACGAAACACGCAAGTCATTGATGTGTCGTAGTTCTTGAGGTAAATGGTTAAAAAAAAATTATGCTCTCATAAATAACTGAGTTTTTTGTCAATGCAAGTCTAGAGATAGGTAGGAGCAATGTTTCTCTACAGCCCACGCCACACAGACACCTTATGGCGCTCTTTTGCAGCATAAACCCCCAAAACGCTATTCCATATCTCACATGTGCTTCAAATAATGAAAAGTATGTCTGCCTGGCTGCCGATTTCTCAAGTTCATGAGAAATGGTTCTGATGATATAGCAGGCACTCCCTTATTTTTTTGTCAAGCAATTCAGGCTCAAACTTCAACTGGGAATCAATGTGCAGACTCAAAAACTTGACCGTGGTTCTATTCTCTAATGTTTCGTTCTGTAGTCTGATGTCAGTTAGAGCACACCTAACTGTCAGTATATTTGTTTTCTGTATGTTGAAGCAAAGGCTATTGGCATCACACCATCCCTTAATCTCCATAAGATCGCTCTCTGTAACTGCCTTGAAGTTGGATAGATTTTCTTTTGTAGTCCATAATGCACTTGTGTCGTCGGCAAATGCTACCAGCCTTGCAGATACTGGCAGGCCAGGGAGAGCAAGTCGTTAATGTAGATAAGGAACAGAATCGGTCCCAAAACCGAACCCTGTGGCACTCCGTGCAAGATTCCCTCTGCACCCGAATCAACACCATCCGTTCGAACGAACTGATTTCTCTCCAAAAGCATTGATGTAAACCAGTACGACTCGTTCCCCAGGACACCATAATGACCCAGTTTTCGCAGCAGTATTTCATGATTAACCGTACCGAAAGCCTTTGAAAAATCACAGAACACTGCTGCTGCAACCTTCCTCCCATTCAAACCAAGGTACAAACCCTCCAAAAATAAAAACATGGCATCACCCGTGTCCCTGCACCCCCGAAAGCCAAACTGATTCTGATTTAGGAATATTCAGGATGTTATGTTCATTCAAGTATTCAAGCAGTTGATCCTTAACAATTTTTTCCATGATCTTGGAAAGGTTGCTCAATAGAGATATGGCCTAGAGACCCTAGAGTTCGATGGGTCAGCGCTATCGCCTCCTTTGAAGATTGGTATAACTATAGCTGACTTAAGACATGGAGGAAAAATTCCTGTTATTAGGGACCAAGTTATACATGATAGCTTGATACCGGTACTTGGAGCGCGATATCCGGTAGATTCTTCAATATCTCTACAGAAATTCCGTCGAGTTCCGAGGCATTCTGGTTTTTTATTGATTTTATACAGTTTATAATTTGCTCTTTACGGGTCAATTTAAATTCAAATCTAACCGAATGCGTCACAGGCTGAAGATAAGCGAGCGGGTCAATTGAATATGAGAATCTAATCCCCGGGTTAGTCCCTCAACGACTGAGACATAAAAACTATTGAGCTCCTGAGGGCTAATATTAAGTATTTTTTTTGGATTCGTTTCTCCACCTCTTAACTCATTAATAATTTTCCAATTTTCTCTGCTTCGGCTTTATTGATCCTTTTCCTATAATATTTTTTCTTTTCTTCTTTCATGAGGTGTCTGTACACGGACCGAGACCTATTAAAATACCGTATAAATGATTGCCCATCCGTAAACTTTCTAATTGTGTGAAGAGATCGCATATTTTTTTCCGATGTTTCGATGTTTCAATACCAAGCCAGCCTTTTTTAGTTTTTGGTTTAATTTTTCGAAGTGGAAAACTTTTTTAAAAAATATGTGTCACACTTAATTGAAAGGAACATATTGAATCTTCTGAGCTCAAACAGTGGTTCCAGTCAACTTGATTTGCATGTCTTTTGAACTTCTCCAATTTTTTTTTGCCATAAATCCTACACCTAACTTTAGACTTTTTTTGTGCTGTATCAGATAAAGTCAGTTCCGCCGCCAAAGCTTCATGGTCAGAAAGTCCCGAGGCCACCACTCTGCATCTCCCCAAAATCACAGTTACTGCATATAAATATAATCAATTGCAGTAGCTGAATGGTTCGTTATACGCGTTGGTTCATTTACGAACACTTTTAGGTTAAAGGAGGGTAATAAAATGATTAACGCTTTCGTGTCTTTTGAGTCTCCCGCGAGAACGATTCTAGAGAAGAGCGAGAATTTGCGCAGAAGGACCTCAAGACCTTCCAAAAATGTATCCGGACTACCCAGAGGGAGGTCTACACATTATTTCGTAGGTACCTACTGAAGAAGAAAATCTTTATGAATAAGGATTGCTCTACCCTCCTAACAGCCATCTCTGCAATATTGGGAGATTATTTCACTTTTTTACGTCTTTTTTAGGTCTTTTTTATTTGAAGTGATACTTTCCCGCACGAAAAAGCAGTTGGACGAACGACGCGAAGCGGAGTTCGGATAAGCTTTGAGTGCGGGAAAGACACTTAGCGCAAGTGTTAGGAACAATACTTTTTCTACGAGTGTTCGAAGATTTGCATATAGCATCCAGAGAGGAGCTATACCTAATATTCTTAAATATTTCCAGATGCTCAAAACTAGGGATTTTCCCTCCTAGTTCAATGTGTTGTGTTTTCATTTTTTTTTTTCAGTGATAAGCTTGATTTTATTTGCAACATTGGTTGCGCTAGCGAGGTTTACTTAAAATTTGAACAAGTCGTTAAGTTTGTTTTTCCTGCCAAATTGAGACTTAATTTACCAGGATGATATTTTTTCATGTGACTTGTTAAATTAGTTTTACGTAGCCACAAGTACAGGGTGTCCGAATTTGGATGGTTTTAATAGGAAACATCAATTTCTGAGCAAGATACAAAAAAATGGACCCCCCACTCCGAGGCTCAAATTTCTTGAAATTTCGATTGGTGCAAACCGAATTTTGATATCTTCAACCGTTTAGCCGCTAGAGGGCGATTCTCGATTTTGAGCAATAATGTGAAACCATCACCATAACTTTTTTGTTTATGAAAATTATTGATTTCCGTAAAAACTTTCTAGAAGCACTTTTTAAAGCAGAATTCAGTGACGTTCTCAGTTTTTTTCTAGTTGGTCCCAACCAAAGTCTGTTTTTTTTCAATAGGACACTCTATATATTAATAGCTCATTAGAAAGCTCGGCTTTTTCTGATTTCAATGATAAAAGTTGGATAGGTTTATCTCTAATAGTTTTCGAGAAAAATAGTATATTGTGTATTTAGGTGGAAAAGTGACACATTCTCGGCCGACGGTGTAAGTTGACGGGCGAGGCGTAGCCGAGGCCGACAAACACCGAACGCCGAGAATGTGCTTTTCCACCGAAATACACATACTATTTTTTCTGCGATCGGTTAAATACCTGTTAAATGTTTGTCTTTTAGTTCCAATTATTCAGAAATACGGGAAACACTTTTCCGGCCTAGGCCGGGAAAGTGTTTTGTTATTCATTGATTCCTTAGCAACTATTGAAACATAATTGAAATACCAGAATATTGAGTTTTGCGACCTGTCAACCAGTCAAAAATGCTGACATTTCTTGTCAATCGCAGAAAAAATTATTTCGGTTTTTGTCATAAGAAGCAATGTGCAAGAAAAGGACTTTATATCTGTAAGGAAACTGAGAAAGGTCTCTTTCTAACTCATTGTTTCTTATGACAAAAGCCGAAATATTTTTTTTCTCGAAAACTGTTAGAGATAAACCTATCGAAATTTGTATCATTGAAATCAGCAAAAGCAGAGCTTTCTAATGAACTATTAATATATAGGGTGTCCCATTGAAAAAAAATCGTATTTTGGTCAATATCTTGAAATCGAGGCCGAATAGAAAAAAACTGAAAACGTCACTGAATTCTGCTTGAAAAAGTGCTTCTAGGAAGTTTTTACGGAAATCAGATATTTTCATAAGCAAAAAAGTTATGAAGATTTCACAGTATTGCTCAAAATCGAGAATCGCCCTCTAGCGGCTAAACGGTTGAAGATATCAAAATGCGGTTTGCACCAATCAAAATTTCAAGAAATTCGAGCCTCGGAGTGGGGGGTTCATTTTTCTGTATCTCGCTCAGAAATTGACGTTTCCTATTAAAACCATCCAAATTCGGACACCCTGTACAGCATCTTCCCAAAATATATTATCCATTTTTGCTTGCATTATCATAGATCTTGCTTTATCTATTGGTGTCTGATTCATTCTTTCCGCGGCACCATTAAGTTGGGGAGTATATGGAGGAGTATAGCTTACAGTCCAACTTTTATAATCTGATACTCTAAAGGAATGTGAGTTGGTGACTCACCATGCCAACGGTCACCTGTCCTCACATCTATTTTTGCTGGATTTTTCCTCCCCTCACTCCTTATACGAAAGTGTCAAATTAAAAAAGCTAAACATTACCTGAATGCCTTTCTTGGAACAAAAATAACATCAGGCCCTTCTTTCTGGATATAAGTTTATCCAGAAACCTACAAAACATTGAAAAATCGAGTATAA